ACTCGCTCTTCCTCCGAGCTGCTGAAAGGTAAAGCCGGTTTCCTTTCCTTTTTCCAAAAGAAAGAAGTTTTGGTATGACAGCCCTACCCTGGGATCTAAAATGGTGAGTACGAGCTGTTACGGTGCCGTGTGTGTCTGCGCCAGGAGGAACAAGCCTCAGGCCCTGCCGTTGTGTCTGACCGCGGGTAAAGCCTTTGCTGGTGGAGAACCAGCAGCATTTTGTGACTGAGCGCCAGAGCCCCGGTCTCACTGCCACACGCCGGGACTGCTGTCGAGAGAAGCTGTGCGGCTGCCCGTGGCCTTTCCTTCTTCCATGCTGATCTTTTGTCTCGCCAGCACCGACGCTCTCTCGCATGCTCTGCAGCCCATAGCAGAGGACTGATCCAGGTTAAAACTTACGTATACCAGCTTAGTTGTATGGAAAACAAGTTTCCGTGTTTGTTTTTCAAACAAGCAATGCCTTTCAGTTAATACATGCTGCATTATAGAAAACTGATTTACTGAGCTGTAAAACTTGCTACAGAATAGTAAAGGAACTAAGAAACCTTGACTGTAATACGTGAAGGTCAAAGATTTTGTGAACAGAAATACGCAAGCACCTGATATGTAAGACCTATATAAAGCCATCATAGCTCCAGTAATGGCATTCTAAGAGCCTGCTTAGTAGAGTGCACAAAACTGCATATGATACAAGTTTGTAACTACTGATAAATGTGGTGTTGTTTTTTTTTTTTTTTAAAGATGTATAAACCGACCGAGTTGGCCTCTGTAATGCGGGATGACCAAACAAAAATTAGGAAAGAAGATAACATACGCTGTAGAGTCTTGAACGGTCTTATTCATAAAGCTCTGGTAGACATGATAGCCACCTGTGAAGTTAATCAAGAACTTTATGATCTCAAGCTGGAAATCTGCAAGGCAAGTGGCAAAGCTATAGCTTGTGTTGAGCTGCTCTGACTATGCCCAGTGAGCTTCCCTGGGTGTTGTGATGTGTGCAGGAGGAGTTTTACTGTATTGCTTCTATTGCACAACAGGATGATGGCCTGGATTCGCCTTGCACACGAGGAGAGCTTTGCCACTGTTGTACCTGGCTTCGTAGGCCTTTGCCACTATAATGCACATGCAACTTGGGCCAACTAAACAGTGATTCTCCTGGTGTGACTTTTTTTTCTGTTATTCAGACGTGTACTATTTGCCTTGTCCTTTCAGAAGGAAGAGCCTGGTTTTACCAACATATGTGTAGCTTTCCAAGAGTCTTTTCTTTGCGCAGGTGTGTGAGAGTTGATACGTCCTTGTGTCCCTCACCAGCATCACTATGCAGGCAGAAGACCTAAGTGGGGTGTGTGCTTAGTTCAAAAAAACCCTGCAAGCCTCAGAAAACAGCATTGGCAAGCAAGGTTCCAGAAAGAACTGGAATTTGTGCCTAATTGTAGCTAGTGTAATAATTCATGGGTTTGAAAAAGATGTTAAAGCTCTGATTCAGGAGCAAACTCAGTCTCCACATTCTTGTTTCTTGGCTGTATTTTTTTTCTTCTACATTTGCTATTTTGTTAAGATTAAATGATACCAATGTTTGGCTTTAAAGCTTGATGGACTTAGCTTTGTTAGTTAGAAGCATGGAGAAAAAATTGCACATCATAGCTGCATCTGTGACAAGGGGTTTGTCATTTATGATTGGAACATGTTTTTGCCAGCTGAATCCATTCTGTCTTCAGGCAAGTGTTTCAAATTGCATGGGCAAGATGCATCTTTTCGCTCTATATAGTGTTTCTTTGTCTCTAGGGCTTTGAGGATTGCTTGTCTAACTCAGATGGCGTGTCTGCACGTAAAAATACTGGCTGGGGGAGGCAAGCCACAGCACTTTTGAAGGCATTGCTGTAAATGAAACAACTTATAACACGACAGAGGGAAAGAAACAGCCTTCTTCCAAATGTGGTCCAGATTTTCTTATAACTGCATAGTGCTTAGTGTTCGTGTTGCACTGGGATGTGGCTGAGACTAAGTCATGGTTTACTGTTTAGCTGATTCTGGTCCGATATCGTTACTTCTGCTATCAAATCTTCTAGTAGGCTTTCTGCAGTCCATCAGAATTTGTGTTTTTTTTGTTATCAAAAGTTAAAATTACACAATAGTAATATAGATAACAATCATGCTTCAGGCTTGATACATCAGACTTCTATCCACTCGATAACATTACTCGTAATGACAAAGAAATGGGTTGTGTTAGGCAGGGTTGTTCATGTGCTTGCATTAGGCTCGGTGTGGGAGATAGGAAGGGTTGATCCTGCAGTAGGAACAGCCGGTTAATGATCACCATGGGTTTTTTCTTAATGACTGATGGATTTCCCAAGGCAGGAGTTATTTGGTGGTGGAAAAAATCGGTACCTGCTTTGGTTTTTAGGGACAGTCCATTGTGCCCCAGGAAAACATAGCACTGTCAACAGCAGACTGTGATGTAGTTTTCACTCCTGGAAATACTCTGGTGGAGTTGTCTTTTCCTGCTAATGTCTGTAGACACCTATTTGTTTGAAAAGTTGGTTTCTGGACTAGATGACCTCTGAACTGTGCCTTCTAATTGGTAGTTTATGCCTTCTTATCCCTCTTCCATGGCTCCTTCCTTTGGTTGAGCCAGATGGGTTGTTAGAGTTTTGCTGAGAGTACTCTCACAGTGAGAACCTGTTCTGTAAGACACTGCTAGATGTGATGAATGACAGTGACAGAAATCTTTCAGAATCCAATTTGTGTTTCAGAATTTTATTCTTCAGGAAGATTGTCCGTCTGTCTTGTTTCTTTTGGCCCTTGCACGCCGTGCATTTTCAGTTGCATGTGTGACAGCTGTGAATATTATCTGTTAGTGAGCTAGAGCGCTGGGGGTTCCCAGCAGGCTTGAGAGCTGGAGAGACTCTAACATTACAGTGACTCGGAGGGCGTCCTCTTTTCTGTCAATATCAAAACCAGACTCCGTGTGACAACAAACCAGGCAGTGTCACAGATCCTTCTGTAGCGGAAACTTACACTTTCAACTGTATTCCAAAATGGCAAGCCATAAATTGTCATTCTGGACTATTTGTGATGGCAGCATTGTCTCATCAACTAAATGTAGCACTATCAGTACCACACAGGTGTTGACAGACTTCTCCTCTGTTTAATTTCAGTTGAAGGGGAGATTAGGCAGTGACTTGCCTAAATAGAAGAAGTCCTTTCAGGTACTGAATGTAAATCTTACTTGATGTTAAACTCTACCTCTATAAAGGCGCCATGTAATTGTGGATCTTAAGAGCAGAGATGGAAGAAGAGATTCTCCTAAGAATTTACATATCCAGTTTGGGTCACTGTGTGCTTATTCATGAAGAAGAGACTTTCTTGTATATGAAGTGTGTGTGTATATACAATTTTAAAAGAAACATTTGTCTTTTTGCAGGTGTCCCTGGCATCGAACTTCTCAGCGTGTCGTGTGTACTGGAATCCTGCTGCTACTATGGAGAAAGAAAGTTATGTTGAAAGTGTCCTGCGGAAGAGTGCTCCACGTATACGGTACCACTATGGGATAAACAGTTAGGCCACTTCATAAATTCATAGCCATGTACTAGTACCATTTCTTAAATATTTCTAACAATCTATATCTGACCTGTTAGGAAGCTTTAGTTTTTTAGATATTTGGAGTCAGAGCATCTCCTGTGATGAGCCTCACAGGGAAGGATGGCTGTGTCAGACCAGCCGTGTGTTCTCCTGCTGGCTTATGTGGCTTCTCTGCTTTGCTGCGATTGGACAGGGCTGAGCAGAAGGAAGGAGGAGTCCGGATGAAATTTAACTTCATTGTGTGAATGATGGCGAGCTGGACATGCTGTGCATGACAGTAGGCCAGAATGTGATGCTGCACAAGAGGACTGGTGATTACAAGTGTCGTCTTACAGGTTCACTGGGCAATTCCGATTGCTAGGGACAGTTTGGACCCCCAGAAGGCATGACTGATATTACAGAAATTCTTCACAATACTAATACCAAAAAATAAATGTCGGGATGCTACCGCGTATTGTGAAGCTTTTACTCATTTTTGGCAGAGGGTCCAGTGAGTTTCCAGGGTATCATAGAGATTTTTGTCTCCGTTTCTCTTTCCTTGGCTTACCTTCTGCTATCCAGCCAGTCTGTTGGAGGATCAGGACTTCACCCCATGGGGAAGGTGGCCTACTTGTAGAGCCATTTCCTCTCGCCCCGTTTCCCTAGGCTGTGTAGTTGCTACTCCAGCACAGTGCTCTCTTCTACTCCCAACAACTTCCGCTCTTTGAGAAGCAATGTTCCTGGCTGGGAAGAAGATGAGGGGGGCCTGTCAGTCCTTCCTGCAGCTAGCATGTAGGACTAGTTGTCTTGCCCTGCTGTGAGGGCTCTATCCCTCACTGCTCTCACCCCTAGAGTGGGGATAAGGAAGCCAAACAAAGTGGGGAAAGACCTATGCCAGCCTGTGTACGTAGGAGACGAATCTACTATTGTCAATACTCAGTGGGATCTGCAGCTAGTAGTTTTTGTACGTTACACATCTAGAGTTGGGATTCTGCAGCGATGTATTGCTTAGCACTAACCTGAATGGATACCCATTAGACTGTGAGTTTTGCAAACTATATCCTTAAATTTGCAGTACTGCTGGAATTAATTTAACATATTTTAACTGTCCTTTGGTTGCTGTACTGTTACTCATGCTGGTGAATGCTGTATTTTTTGCCAGGTATCTTCTGATGAGTCAGCAGATTCTAGGAAATGTGCCCCCAATAGTATTTATAAAAGACAAAGAAGCTGCAGCTGTAAAAGAGGTAATTGTAATCTTTGACTCCATGTACAAATATAATGATACACAAACATGGTGACTTAGCATACCATAAAGCTTAGGAATACGGAGAGAGCTGGTCATTGAATTGCTCTACCAATCTACATTAAAAATAAGTCTTTGTCTATACCCTTTCCTCTTCATGTTTTAAAGCGTTTTAGCAAAGAATGTTTGAGTAAGACTGATGCTTACATACAATGTGAAAGAATCCCTGTAGCTATCGCCTCGTGAACTTTTTTTGATGCTACTATTAAATTTCTGAAGTGAGGTTTTCAGAGAAACTTGTAGGCCAGATTGTTAGGCAAATAAAGAAATCCTAAAAAGTTAAATTACCATTTGAAGGACTGATACAGGGTAGGCAGTTGTCTGTTGCCTGGTATACATGATTATAGATATGAGGTCTGAGGAGCTGTCTTCCACATTTTAAATGTTATGTGCTTTTAAAATCTGTTGAATCTAATCGGTGATTTTTTTCTTTTTACCCCAACATTTTTCCATCTGTGAATTGTTAAAATGTTTCTAGGTAAGTGCAAATCTTTGCATAGAGAATGTAATCTCACTCATACTACTTTTTTTCACTTTTAAAATTATCTTTACTATTTCACATTTTCTGTCAAGGTGTTGATAGTAGATGAAATATTGCTGGAATAATGATGTGTTCTAGGAATTTGGTGTCATTAGGACTGTGAAGTGAGATCACTTAAAGAGTGAGATTTCTGGAAGAGAAGGATGATACCAATGAGTGGAATGCATGAAAAGTGTCTCCTCAAGCTGTTGATGCGAATGGAAATAACATTAGTTGAAAAGAGCATATTCATATTTCTGTGCCCCGAAGTGCCTTATTCTTAGATGTATTACTGTTACAGCCAATTACCGTTAGTGACGTACGAGCTCAGGCGGTGTGTGTTAGCAGAGCTGAAAGGGATAACAAGAACTTTGAGCTATAGAAATGCAGTGAACTGCTTGAACTTTCAGTGGTCAGAAAAATTCTAAGTTTCATGCCAATATGCTGATCCACAGTGCAAATGTTTTTCACCTGCATTAGCATCAACAAAAAGCGCAAGAATAGAAATGAACTAAACACTTCTGAAAGATTTTATATTTGTTATTATGCTCCTCCTAATCAACATAAGAAATTGTACACAACAAGTAACAAGTGATTATGGAAGCACTTTGTCATTACTGCTACTCTGTTATTAACATACGTAGATGAAGCTACAGATACCTACTCCTGCAGGTCCTGCCTTTCAGTTCTGTTACTATGGAACCTGTTCCATTAATCACTGTTTCTCAAACTTTGTTAAATGACCACTTACTCTTTTTGAAGATGACGACCACTGGATTGTCTCACCTTCGAGTTGAGTGCATAGGCGCCAAGAAAGTTAACCACACGAGACAAGTAAAAGCCCTCCCTATATGGCTTCTGTCAGTGAATGGCACTGGGAAGCGCTTGGATGGATCATCTTTTCTTGCTTTGCAGATCATCAGATTTCTGTAATCCACAGATTCAAATAACAGGGCTTGAAATAATGCAGCTGAACCTGTTTTTTGAAGTATTAGAAGATAGGGAAGAACCATCCAATTCAACTCCTAGAATAATACACTGAATTAAGAAGGGAAGCAATGTAAAGAATAATAGGAATAAAAGTTTCAAATTAGGTAAAATTTTCATAATTAGGTAGAGTCTATAAGCACTGAATAGACTAGATTTGTAGCATTTACTGATTAGGTGCCATGTTAAAAGGGAGTTGGGAACTCAGTATTTACCTGTAACAGAAATACAAACTTGTAGAAAGGGGGAAGAAGTGAAAAATCTCAGTGTAAATATGTTATGGAAAAGGATTCACAAGACTGAAGTAAGACCAAATAAAACAAAAACTATATATGTCACACAGTCCCCAGCCAACTATTCAGAATGTACAGAAGGCAAAAGACTTTGTAGGAATCCCTCGATCAGTTGTGATACTTGACACAAACTTCCCAGGCAAGAAGTATAAGCGGTACCAAGTAAATAGAGGAGAGGGCTGTTTTGGAATGGTTTTGCTAAATATTCCAAACATGTAGAAAATAAAATATTTGCTGTTAGATACTTGTCTGTTTCTTGTGTAGGTGTGAACAAAGTAAATTTAATACAGGACCTTTAATATGTATTATCTTGATGTGTTTACAGATTGAGGAATTATTGTCAATTGCTGATTTTGGACCCCCAGAAGAAGAAGAAACATTATCTCAAAATTATTCTAGGTGGGTTTTTTGGGTCAGAACTGTATAAGTGTCCATTTTCATTTCTCTTGGCCAACTTAAATTGTGTATTACTTGACATGACAGAAAGTGTATTTTAATTAGATGTGTACATTGTCGTTATCTTAGAGTTCATCAGATAGTGTTATGAGGAAGTAGAAAGCAGAAGAGAGAGACTTTGTGGAAGACCTTACCGAAAAGGTATCTCAGCTTTTAAAGAGATCAGTTGGGCTCTTTTATTAACAGAAGAGGCTGCAGAATAGCCTAGGACAAAACTAATATGTAATTATCCCAGAAATGAAATGTAGATGACAGCATTTTATTTTGTGGCTTAAGCTTTCTTTACCAAAGTTACACCCATTTAATAAAATCAAGGGTAAATATTTCTTGTTACATATGCTCTGGTTTACTTTCACATTTTAGTGCAGACACCTTTTCACAGGCTATTTTGTCGTTGGTTCTTGCACACAGGTACCTTGCTGCAGATCAGAGGTTTGCAAATATGGAAAGGAAAAGTCTATTTTTTATATATACGTGAACCTCTGTTAAGCTGTGGAGAATGACTGAATTGTCATTTGTAACAGCATAGTGTGTACGCTTTCAGAGGCGACTACACATAAGGTGATACCAGAACACAGTTCTAGAAATCAGCAGTCTTTGATGTCTGTTCTCTGAGTGACATAGTCATCAGACTTGGTACGTGCAGACCCAATACTTGTTGTGGTATTAGTGTCTTTACTTTTACGAAGGAAATATTTTTAGAATTTGTAAGAATTCAAGACTTAATGTGTTTCTGATAATTAAATTTTAAAAAGTGCTTTGCAGCAGTAATATTTGTTTCTTGCTGGTGATTTTCTCATAAGGATAAAAGCTCTGCATTTACCAGTATTCCTCTACTTGGCCACTTTTTTTTCTGGTATAAGTTTTGTTTTTTATATATGAGTTACAAGTTTACTGATAAATTTCCCTAAGTTAACAAAAAGTAAGCTACTTTAGCACTCTTCTGTGAGGGATTTTGGCTATTGAAGAGTAGGGCTGAACACTGTTGGAATAATGACTCTGTGGACTGGATGCTCTCAAAGCCAACAGCCTTGGACTTGTGTGCTTCAGTCTGTTGGTGGAAATGCTTTTTGTGCCTTGATGTCTCACAGAATGGTTCATCAGGTGCAAATCAGAAGTAGTTTCTTGGGGGAAATCATTGCTGTGACAGACTTTCCCACAGGGCACCTAGCATCTTCCTCTGTGTCTTGTGGAAATACTGAAGTCCAGCTTAAGGTGCCATATGCTGTCATTCATACGTCTGATGTACTTTGGGCACAGGCTGCTGCTTCTCACTTCTTGGAAGAACTGGGAGAAGTCTAACTTCCTTGGAACTCCCAGGTCCAGTGCTCACTCTGTTACTTATGCACACCTTTTCCCAGAAACAAGCAGTTTCATCTGTAGTTGCTTTATTGGCTTCATCCCACTGAATCTGCTGCCACGCTGACAGGCTTATACACAGCCTGTCCTTGGACGCGTAGTACAACGGTATCTCTTCCTTCTTAACAGAGGTAGCACAATGAACACAGTGCATAATAAAGTCAAACTGAAAAATCCAGCTTATTTCTGTGCTACTCAAGTGGTCACTAGCAGCATTGCCCCTTAAAATATACATAGAGGAAAAAAACCTACAACATTTGTTTTCCTTTTCACAGTAAACTGTTCTCTTCAGCAACTCAATCTGCAGATTTACCCGTGCCATCTAATCTTTTTGGTATTGATCATGAACTGCTGAATAAACAGATAATGGACTACAAAAGACTGAAAGTGTCAAGAGATCTAGAAAGCATTGCCTGGACAGAAGAGCAGGAGCAGCAGCTTTCTAAGATGAAAAAGAAAATGAAAAAGAAAAAACCAAGGAATCCTCCTGATGATGATGTTACACCACAGGAATATTTACTGGACAGATACGAAGCTGATTACTGGGATGATAACACTGAATCAGTCTTGGACTATGAGCTGGAGGATGAATTACAGGAAGAGGTAAACGAATGGGAGGCGCATGATGGCAAAACTGTAAGTCAGCCTACTGATAAACTGAAATGAAGTGAAAAAGCCACTCCCTTTAAAATGGAGGCTGCCAATAGCAAAACAAAGACTGCCATAGATACTGAAAGATTTGTTTTGTACAGCCTGTTTGCCACTTCCTCTTTCAAACTAATAGGTTTGCCATGCGTGGGGAGGTTTGCTAGCACAAGGTGTGTAAGAAAACCAAAAATGAGAATTGTGACATTCTGTTAAGAACCTTTCAAGCTGCTGCAGTTGTAGGACTTTCAGCCAGAGAGAAGTTTTGTGATAACAAAACACACATAGTGCAGCACTGAGTTAATCAACAGAACTGCAAGAAGTTTTTTTTCCAGTAAGATTACGGTTTCTGTGTTGAAATAAAATGTCATCTTTTTTTTGGTTTTGAGTGATCTGGATAAAAATAATCACAAAGTGATGGTGTCTGCTATTCTACGGTGAGGAAGGAAAAGGGAAGCAAAATGACAGTGGTGTTGAAAGAGCAGCCTTCAGCGCACAAAGACCAGGACAGGGCGTTCTCTAGAGGACCTAGTCTAATGGAGAACTCTTTCCACAAGAAGGTGCAACTCACTGAAATCATGGCCAATAAAGTTACCACCCTGAAAGAAAATAAATTTATTTATTTTAATATTCAGAAATTTACAGTTGTGCAAGGGAAACTGCAACCAGAAAAGAATGGAAAAGTGGTCATCTATTGGGTGAAATGGGGCAAAGCATGGACCATGACCGAAAAAATGTATTAAAAACTCAAAGGCAGAGAAAAAGCATCAGGGAAGAATGCTGCAGTAACTGTTTTGAGATTTGGAAAAGGATGGGGGATGATATAAAAAAAGAGAATAAAGCTTTCTGGCTCAAAGCAAGTAAAAAGTAATAGCATGAGTGCATAAAGTCAGAAGGTCTGAAGCTTCAGAATAAGTTAAAACTAATGAGGCAATAATTATATTTATAATAATAATATAATAATAATTATACCAGAAATAAGGAGCATTTAATTCTGTTAGTTAATGGTGAAGTAAAGAAAGACAATGCAGAGGAGGTTGCACTGCATAGGTTGCTTTAGTTTTTCGAAAAGATTTAAAAGACGGTGAGTATACGCTCCAGAATATGAAGAACAGTCCAAAGGGTTTTTCAGGTTGAAGAAAGGAGTTCAGGACAGCCAAGAACACTGAAATTCACTATAGGTTATTTAATAATCCACTTGAAGCATATTCTGAAGATTGATTGCCTATAAGAATATGGAGAGGATATGGGCTATGAATGCCCATAGGATGTTCGTATAAGCTGTTCAGAGCTTGTACTGAATAGGGGTTAGGATCTTCTAGATGTGTGCAGCACTTTCATTAGGATACGTGTTGAAGCTGTAGCTCGCATTAGTACTTGCCTAACTTGAAGTAGGTGAATAATCCCACAGATTTCAGTGTGCCTTGTTTGAGCTTTCCAGGAGTTTTTCCTAAATTCCACGGGACTGACCCACTTTGAAGTAGATGCTTTAGTTTGTTTTCCAGTGAGGGAAGTTATTTATCATATCAGAAACTGTTCACGTGCAGTATCACCGTCAAAGCCATGAATTTTTTGCAACTTGGCAAAAAGTCTCCTTAACTGTTTGAATGAACAATGGGAACCTGTTAATCGGTAATCCACAGAATGCTGATGTCTCCATCTTTAGTTTCTGCTGTATAAAATGTGGGACTGTCCTGAATCTACCTAAAGGCTGAAAAAAGGGAAAAAAACCCAACACCTGAACAACTGACAGATTAGGCTTTTGAAAGAATGAAGAGAATAAAGTTGATTACCTGCGCTTCGTGTTTAGTTTGGACATCTATAAACTAGGTTTGTAGTTCATAGATCAGATTTCATCTAAAACCAACCAAAACCATTCTTGCTGTCAGCCCTGATCCCTTTACTCCCTTGTTAAGCAAGAGAGGGCAGTTGAGCTCTTCTGCTTGCCACAGCTAGTGTCACAGAAACCAGGCTTTGTTCAGGAAGTGAGATGGCCTCGCGCTTACTCAGGGTGTCCAGGGATGGGACAGCCATTCTGAACCTGGTGAGCAGTAAAATGAAGCAAAAGCAACCAGATTTAGAAGAGATGGAAATCTTGAAAACGAGCAGGCAGGACGGACTGGATGGAAGCGGCGGCCCAGGGGATATCTGGAGAATGGCACCAGAGCAGGTGAGTGGGAGCAGACCCAGCCTGCCCTCACCAGAGCTCTGCCGCAGCGTCCGCTGGCTTCCCAGGGGAGCACGGTTGCAAGTTTTGTCTGCTGTGATACCAGTCTAATAGTAATCTCAAGACTTTTATAGCTGTAAAATACAATAAATGAACATTATACTCTAGCAGAGCAATATGAACTATAACCGCTTGCAGAATCCCTGGATTTAATTTTTGTGTGACATAACCACAGGTGGGGAAGGAACTTGGGGGCCTTCAGACCTGGTCCCCTACCTTCAGTGGCAGCCACTTGCTGTTAGTCCTGGTTAGGAATACGCAGCTGGGAGTAATTGTTATTTAACTTTGGCAGAACCAGACGTGCAGCTGAATTTAAGTGATTGGTGCCCCTGTGAACATGCTACACCACTCGTATTTGAATCAATGTGATCAGTTGACAGTTTTTAAAAGAGCTTTCATTGCTTTCTATGACTGTCAATTCAGACCTTCCCAAACACTCTGGGACCCTACAAGTGTATTGTTCAAATCTAGGTTTCAGACTGAAAGTAAAGAAATACCTCAGGTTTCCCTCCAATCTGGTTATTTTCCTGGTCCTAGAAGGTGCTGATGTTGAAGGGGAAGCAAGGGCACGTAGTTCCTCTGCTTCATTTTAGCCAATCAGTTTGATTTCTCTGACCCCTCTAAGACCTGGTTGTGAAAGTGTTTATGCATTTTGTGTCTTTCCAAAACAGAAGTGCCTCTTGAGCAGAATCACTGAGTAACGCTGCTGTGCTGCAGACAGGCTGACAGCGAGAAGTTCACTAGCCCTCTCCAAAACATGTAACTCAAGGAGGACGACAGTGCTCCAGAAAAGGCGCTGACAAAAATGGCATTGTGCCAGGGGAATTAGAAAATCGAGATGCACATCTCGCCGAAGTCTTATTTTCTGTCCAAGGAATTACTTATTTGTCGTGAAAGCCAATCTACCCTTAAGCCTTGCTTGCATACATAAAGCCAAGAAATGTAGAAGCTCAGCAAAGAGAAAGATATTAGTATATTGCCCAATGCCTTGCCATTTTGTTCTATATCTAACTCTGCAAGAGGATGAGGGAAGACAGAAAGGTTTAGTTTTAAAGATTTCAAAGCGCTATAGAATATGCCCTATCAAACCAGAAGAAAACCTGCATTAACTAGGAATAATGAGTTGCATGCGTGTTTTTCTTGCATTCAGTCACTGCTGAATCACAGAATCAGAGAATGTTCGGAGTTGGAAGGGACGTCTGTGGGTCATCTAGTCCAACCCCCCTGCCGAAGCAGGGTCACCCAGAGAAGGCTGCAGAGGACCTTGTCCAGGCAGATCTTGAATATCTCCGGAGAAGGAGACTCCACAACATCCCTGGGCAGCCTGTTCCAGTGCTCCATCACCCTCAGAGGGAAGAAGTTCTTCCTTCCCTCAGCCTCTCCTCGTAGGAGAGATGCTCCAATCCCCTCACCATCCTCGTAGCCCTGCACTGGACTCTCTCCAGTAGCTCCTCATCTTTCTTGAAGTGGGGAGCCCAGAACTGGACACAGTACTCCAGATGGGCCCTCACTAGGCCAGAGCAGAGGGGGAGGAGAACCTCCCTTGACCTGCTCACCACACTGCTTTTGATGCACCCCAGGATTCCACTGGCCTTCTTGGCAGCCAGGGCACACTGCTGGCTCATGGTCAACCTGTCGTCCATTAGGACACCCAGGTCCCTCTCCGCAGAGCTGCTCTCCAGCAGGTCCGCCCCCAGCCTGTACTGATGCATGGGGTTGTTCCTCCCCAGGTGCAGGACCCTGCACTTGCCCTTGTTGAATTTCGTCAGGTTCCTCTCTGCCCAACTTTTCAGCCTGTCCAGGTCTCCCTGAATGGCCGCACAGCCTGCCGGTGTATCCACCACTCTACCCATTTTTGTGTCATCAGCAAATTTGTTGAGGGTATACTCTTAACTCTTCATCCAGGAGATGAGGAGGTATTATGCCTATATTTAATTGCTTGCTAAATGAGGAGTTACGGGCGTGAAATCTACTATGATGAAAGACCAGTCATTCTCATAAACATCTAACCAACAAAGCATCACACTTCAAACCGTAAGAATAAAAACGCAGAAATGTTTGTCTATTGTGGTAGTTACTTCTGACTTTTATTGGTAGTATGTTCTTCAGGTAGTCCATCTTACCTGGTGGGCTTTGCTCAAACTTACTCGAAAACAAATTCTAATGGAGAACACTTGCAGTTAATTTCAGATAATTACTGTCTCTCTGGCTGCAAGGAATAAGTAATGAAAGCAAGCGAGTTCAACTAGCCCCACAGCAGAAAAGTGTTTTGTTCAGATAAAATTTCCTGTGTTTCAGTTTCTGTCTGTTGCCTTTTCTGTCACTTGGCAGTGCTGAGAAGAGCCAGGCTCTGCCTTCCCTGCGTCTCCTACCAGGTATTCATAAACATTGCTAAACTGCCCCTGAGCCCTCTCCTCTTGAGGTTGAACAATCCTAGCTCTCGCAGTCTCCCCTTGTGTGAGAGATGCTCCATGCCCTATACTGTGAACTATTAATAACAGTGAAATAGATGATCATCTTAATTATGCCTACATTTAAGTGCTTCCTAAATGAGGAGCTAAGACTTGCTGCGTATACGCAGCTTTTCTAGAACGTGGTGTTCCCAAAGAGGAAGCAGATGATTCAAAACAAAAATGCTACAATGCAGAAGCACCTAACCCAGTCCTTGACCAACTCCTTAACTCCAGGGAACACCTGGACAGGTAGCAAAAATCCCCATCCACTACAGACTCATGGCTAGAAAATATCTGGAACTAAAGCAACAAAATATCCAGCATGAATCCCATGGTATGGA